TAACGTGGTTTACTTTCTTCTAAGTTGATAGTCTAGCACTTTTTGTGCTGTTGATTCCTTAAAATTGTATTGTTGAATAGATTCTTAGTTTAAATTGTCTGCATTTTTACATTAACATCAAAATCCACGTTTCACCACAGAAAGGTCTCCTTTTGGTTTTGACGTTAAAGCGAGATTCTGCCCCAGAACGAAAATATCTCAGAATCAAGCTTTGGCATGTCAATATATTTTGACTAGACATTTGGTGACCCGTGTCTTATGCTTTATTTAATTGAAAACATGGCTTTGCAATTAAGAATAACGGTGTATTTATTCAATAACAGACATTGTACCAAAAACATGTTGGATTTATATTGTTTTGAGTGATGATTCATGAATTATTTGTTTGTTTTTATTTAAAATCATACCTTTACTAAAAATAGTGTATGGTCCGTAACACTATTATTATTAAAAAATAGATGCTAGAATTCCCAAAACTTGAAGTCCAGCAAGATTTCATATGAAAGTAGACTTCATATTGGTAAACATTCTCTACATATTTCCCTAACAAATAGTTAGGTACACAATGTCATTGAAGTTTTATTTAAAAACAAAACATGAATTGATTAAAAATTGATTTGTTTATCAAATGGTATTTTCATTTGACCCAAATTTGATTAATAAGGGTGATTTTAATAGGTTTTTATGTACGGCACACAAACTGCCAAAATTCTAGTGGCCTTTGCAAATAGGGTTGACCCATAACTTTACTGTCTCACAACCTCAAAATAAAAGCGACATATAAAGTTATGGACGCCAGAACTACTACTATCTGATACTGTTTTAAATTTTTGGAATTTCATAATAAACAATTTGTTTTTTGAAAAAATCGCAATAAATATTAATAATATGAAAATGGCAAAGCCTCAAAGCGAGCTTGATTTACTTTTACCGTGAAATAGTATAAAATAATCGTTCATTATGCCCCCACAATGTGGGAGCATATAGCGTTGCACTTGTCCGTCCGTCCGTCAGTCCGTCCGTCCGTCCGTCAGTCCGTCCGTCCGTACGTCCCGAAATCTTGTGAACGCAACTCCTCTTAAACCGGATGGCAGATTTTACTTAAACTTACAGGGATGAACAACCTTAATGTGTAGATGGTAGTAAAGGAAGGAATTTTCGCTGCGACCAAATTTAACAGAATTATGGCCCTTTGTTGATTTTTTCACTAGATACTATATAGAAATTTTGTGAACGCAACTCCTCTTTAACCAGTTGGCAGATTTTGCTTAAACTTACAGGGATTAACAACCTTAACCCATTACTTCATATACACGCCTTTTAACGCCTTTTTCACCCCCCCCCCCCTTTTGTTGTCTCAAATGATGAAAAAATGCCTTATTTAGGCCCCAAACACACTTGTTTTTGTTTGAGAAATGTTGTTAAAAAAAGTGACCTCTTTTCGGCGCGGCCCCCCAACCAAAAGATACATCAGGGGGGTTGCCAGAAGGGGGATGTGCCCCTTCTGTTTGGGGGGTTTGAAGGGGGGCGGAGTCCCCTCATCGCCAAGAAAATTTTGGACTTGTTTAGAGGCTGTAAATGACCCCAGATTGATCATAAGGTAACGTGTAACCAACGCTGAAAAGCATTTGACTCTATCTCAATCCATTGAGAAGTTGCAGCACTTTGAAATCAATTTTGATGGAAAAAATCAACGCAAAATAGTGATTTTTGGCAATTTGAGATGTCCCCTCGTTGCCATGGTAACAGAAATTTAAGCCTGAGCATGTTGTTTGCAAGGGCAATGGTCCAGTCAACATTTGTGCCAAGTTTGATTAGTGTTGAAGCAGTTTTATAGTATTTATAGCAATTTGAACTTGTAACGGGGGAGACTTTTCAATGAAAACAGCCATTTTTCACAAAATGCTCATGAAGCAATGGGTTAATGTGTAGATGGTAGTAAAGGAAGGAATTTTTGCTGCGACCAAATTTAACAGAATTATGGCCCTTTATTGATTTTTTCACTATATACTATGTAGAAATTTTGTGAACGCAACTCCTCTTAAACCGGATGGCAGATTTTGCTTCACTTATAGGGATGAAAACCTTAAGGTGTAGATGGTAGTAAAGGAAAGGAATTTTCGCTGCGACCAAATTTTACAGAAATTATGGCCCTTTGTTGATTTTTTCACTATATACTATGTAGAAATTTTTGTGAACGCAACTCCTTTTAAACCGGATGGGCAGATTTTGCTTAAACTTATAGGGATGAACAACTTTAAGGTGTAGATGGTAGTAAAGGAAGGAATTTTTTCGCTGCGACCAAATTTTACAAGAATTATGGCCCTTTGTTGATTTTTTCACTATATACTATGTAGAAATTTTTGTGAATGCAACTGTTCTTAAACCAGATGGCAGATTTTGGCTTAAACTTACAGGGATGAACAACCTTTAATGTGTAGATGGCAGTAAGGAAGGAATTTTTGCTGCGACCAAGTTTAACAGAATTATGGCCCTTTGTTGATTTTTCAACTATATACTATATAGAAATTTTGTGAATGCAACTCCTACTTAAACTGGATGGCAGATTTTGCGTTAACTTCCAGGGGATGAAGAACCTTAAGGTGTAGGTGGCAGTAAAGGAAGGAATTTTCGCTGCGACCAAATTTTTACAGAATTATGGCCCTTTGTTGATTTTTTTCACTAAATATACTATGTAGAAATTTTGTGAACGCAACTCCTCTTAAACCGGATGGCAGATTTTGCTTAAACTTTCAGGGATGAACAACCGTAATGTGTAGATGGTAGTAAAAGGAAGGAATTTTTTGCTGCAACCAAATTTAACATAATTATGGCCCTTCTGTTGATTTTTTCATTATATACTGTGTAGAAATTTTGTGAACGCAACTCCTCTTAAACCGGATGGCAGATTTTGCTTAAACTTACAGGGATTAACAACCTTAATGTGTAGATGGTAGTAAAGGAAGGAATTTTTGCTGCGACCAAATCTAACAGAATTATTGCCCTTTGTTGATTTTTAGTTTTCAACTTGTGGCACATGTAGTCCAAAAAATATTTGACCTAGAGTCATAAGATTGACAGAACAGTGGCGTGTGGGGGCATCCGTGTCCTATGGACACATTTCTAGTTTTTATTTTATATTTTCCGTTTAAAAATTGTCATTCTGTACATTATACACTGCTTCCATTTATTCTGGTTCCCTGTCCTATTATGGTTCCCATATAAGTGCGCAGGACACTAGTCTACCCTTCCGTTTTCAATCAGAATACCTCTGCTTTTATCGTTATCTTGTAATTCGAAAAGTTGCGATTTGTCAATTCAGTACTTCGGATGAAAGTTTTCAAAACCATCACTCATAATCTAGCAGGTACTCGCGTTACCGTAAAGCTCGCTTTGCTAGCAGGCCCTTTTGGCCAACTCTTTGAGCTCGCTGTTAAAGGAATATCGATTATTTTTAAACACATCAATTTTTTCACCATAAACGGTAAAATAATGATAGAATAATAAAAATATCATGTAATTATGTTATGTACTTCATCTGGTGCAGTGATTGTTCTGCTTATATAATAGATTCTGATAAAAAGCCTTTTCCCAATTGAAATTTTCTTAAAAATCATGCAGTTTTCCCAGAATGAACTTAAACCTGCTTTTTTACTTCCCAAGTGAGCAATTTTAGCGATAATTTTTCCCAAAATCAAGTTGCTTAGGCCTATGCTAATTAAGTGAGAAAAATCACAGAGGTGTAATTCCCCAGAGCTAAATCGGTATTATACCGGAAAAACAGTGTTTGGCTAGGTTTTCGAAAAGGTCAATAGGGCCGAGTTGACCTGTGCTGCGTTGGTGTAGGGGTGAGTTGACGCTTTACCAACAGTGTCTTTTCTAGGATTCGAAAAACAAAACTGGGGATTATTGAAAAGTGAAAATTGATTACATTTGTTGATCTTTTTCCTTATTTCTCTGTGTAAAATTTCCCCCCTGCCTTTGAAAAAATAGAGGGAAAATCCTCAAAAATATGAGTGAATCCCCCCACCTAGAATAGACACTGTAACAATATAGCACATGGACTTACCAGTTGTGGGACATCTAAACAATGTTTTCCCATTCGTGTTAATCTATGTTTAGGCAACCTAGGTATGTGCTTTACGTCTCCCAAGTGGACTTCTTGCCACTGTCCTAACCAATCATGGATTGTGGAATCTGAAAGGGAATCTAACCACTGTTGGGATTCAAATCCACAACCTTTTGATTAAAGTCTGATGCTCTTCCCCAGCAAGCCTCACCATTTTTCTCCACATTTAAGATTTAAATGATGAATCTTCAGTATTTCACAGTATATGTTGGGCTCTGTGCTATAAAAAATTGTGTAATTTTCTACCATTATTCAAATGAGTTGAGTTGTCTGTTATAGAAACATTATTCCCTGCATAACTGTTTTCTAGTGTTGTCAGTGATTTAAGGACTAAACTGGTGTTGATTAACCAAACATTATTTTCTTAAAAGTATTGTTTTGCCTGATACACAGAAAAATGCCCAGTAAAGACAGGAAACATACAAAAGTCCTTCTGTTTAAAAATTGCAGGGCGGACAAAAGCCCTCCATTGAAAATTGTCAACATGACCTTTGTATATGGCTGTCACAAATTAACTAGAGTTCTTGCAGGGTTCTGGGTGACACATGATCCAGCATCCAGGTATACATGTTTATAGCTGCTGGTTGCATAGATTTCAAAGCTGGGATTCTGTATAAGCTAAATTTTGGATTGTGATTTCTAGACTAGCTAATTAATTTTATTCAGTGCTATCGGGCACTAAAGATGCAGGATGCATCAGTGAATCTTTACACCTCTACCCATTGTACAATAACATATAGACATTAAAATACAATCTTCCTGTTCAAAAGGCACTTTTGCAGAAAAATTCACTGTAATATGTTGACATAGCCATGCATACTGCATATGCGATTCTTATGCCAAATGTAAAGATATAACCACCTGATAATTGTTAATCCAACTGGTATTTATTTTAGGATTGGCAAAAACTGTTGGACTTAGGTCTATTTACACTACAACAAGACCAAACCTTATGTTGACAAAGGCAACAAAGGTAATCTGCCAAGGTTTTACTGGAAAGCAAGGGACTTTTCATAGTCAGCAGGCCATTGAGTATGGAACTAAAATGGTGGGAGGAGTTTCCCCTGGAAAGGCTGGACAAAAACATTTGGGACTGCCTGTCTTTGGAACAGTGAAAGAGGTTAGAAACATATTTTTGTTGTTAAAATTTCTACTTGAAAAAAAGAAGAATAAATTTATATTTAACTTCTGTTTTTGAAGAAAAATTCGAGCTGTTCTGATCGCTGCATTGTCATCGGCATCATCGGCAAAAACTTGAATGTGTCCCATTGTTTAAACAAGTGCAAAGTTATCAGCAAGAAACTTGGAATACTTGCTTATCATGACAAGGTGCAGTTGCAAGACAATATATGCTTTACTATGAAAGCTGCATTTCCGGAGTAATGGCCCTTTTTGAATGTCAATTTTTGTCAAATGATTTTATATACATGTATAAAGCACAGTTGTTACACAAGGGGCTTTTAACTTTTGGTTAGTTGTCTCTCAATGCTGATTCAAGCAGAAATCATGTTAGATGAGTAGACAGTCACTTGCAGAGAAATTGGTAATTAATGTTATTACTGTTATTCAGGAAAGGGGGTGCTACAATGTAGAATACTAGATGGGTCATCAGTCAAGATAAAATTAAAAAATGTGTTAAAATCAGTATTAAAAAAAAAAAAATAATTATAATAAAGTACAAGACTGTCATACAATTCATAAATCAATCGGATTGCTTGTGCATTTTCAGAATGTTTGTACAGGAATAGTAAAGACATAGTATAGGCCAGACTTCTGGAAAGTTTAAAAAAAAATTCAGACATATGGTCTGACACCATGAAAATTTGTCAAACCGAAAGGAAATCTGTCAGACCGAATGATATAAAACAAAATCAAAGGCAAACTGGTGTTTGTATTTTTAAGACAAATTGTTTCCGCCTTAAAAATAGGCACGGTCCGTACAGGGTATTTTCACCTCCTCCGTGTCGTACACCAACCATTTTACAGTCCTGCTTCCAGTTTTCATTAAATTTTCTCTCAGGTCTATTCTTTTCATCCTTTTAATTCTGTTCTGCACGCTTCCCATAGGTAGATTTTCCCAGGTTTGGCACCTTTAGCTACGCCATTTGTTTGCGCGCGACTTGAAAAAAAAAACAGACAGTCAAACCGATCCGGAATAAAAATTTGTCAGACCTGATAAAATTTATCACACATGTCTGTCTGACAGACGTATTTCGGGAAGTCTGACAGGCCACCATGATTATATTCTTTTGTTAAATTGCAGGCTAAGGAAGCAACGGATTGTGATGCTACAGCTATTTATGTACCGCCAAGATTCGCAGCAGCTGCCATTGAAGAAGCCATTGATGCTGAGATCCCACTTATTGTTGTCATAACAGAAGGTAATATACAAATCCTGAAGTACCATAACAAAAGATAATTTACAAATTCTGAAGTCCAATTGTTGTTTTTATCCCACTGAAAAGTGTGGTAATTGAGGGTGTAATACCACTGAATATTGTTTTTTAGCTCGACTTTTCTATGAAAAGGGGAGCTATCCTACTCGCCCCGGCGTCGGCGTCGGCGTCACACCTTGGTTAAGTTTTTCGTACCACCCCACTTTATTTCAGAAGTATTACAAGTATGGCTTTGAAACTTACCATACTTGTTCACCATCATAACCTCCATCTACAGACAAGAGTACATAACTCTGTCAAGGTTTTTGACAGAATTATGGGCCCTTTTTTGACTTAGAAAGTGTATTGAGCTTGGTTAAGTTTTTGTACCACCTCACTTTATTTCAAAACCATTGGAGGTATTGCTTTGAAACTGACCATACTTGTTTACCATCACGACCTTCATCAACAGACAAGAGGACATAACTCTGTCAAGGTTTTTTGACAGAATTATGCCCCTTTTTGACTTAGAAAATACATTGAATATGGGTAAAATCCCACTTATTGCCTTAACCCTTTGAGATATTGCTTTGAAACTTTTAATGCTATTTCACATCATTACCCCCATCTGTACGCAAGAGAAGGTAACTCTGTCAAGGATTTGTTTTAAAAATTAAGGCCTTTTATCGACTTAGAAAAAAAAGCTTGATAAAATTTATCTATTACTTGTATTATAAGGTAACTATAATACTTTCACATACAAAGTCAAATCTATATATTATGCTGATTGTACAAAAATATACTGCTTCCTTGGCATAGATTTCTTGAAAAATTATGTTATTATGTCATTTACCAAGGTTTCTGAGTGACGTAAAAATACCTTATTCTCTCAAAGTGGGTTTAAACACTATTAAATTTATTTAAGGCTCAACTCAGTTTTTTTTTTCTTTCTTACCAGCCCTCTTTTGACTTAAACATTTCAAACTTTGCTGCAGTGTTCAAGGTATCACACAATTACAGTAAAATAATTCTTCACTAAATATCTTAATGCTCATGGCCATTGTTCACTTTAAAAATACAGAGATTCTTGTATTGCCTTTTACTGCAAAAACTTTTTTTATTGGCAAGCAATAAAAAAGTCGAGCGCGCTGTCTTACGGACAGCTCTTGTTATTCCACTGATTGGATTAGTACATTTGTACCGCCTCCGTGGTCGAGGGGTTGGAGTGGATGACTTCTAATCCAGTTACCTCTCTGGCGTGGGTTCGATACCCCGGAGATGCTTTGGTAGTTTAGCGTGGCGGAAGGTAGTCTAGTACTGGTGTAACTCTCCAGGAATGATGGTTAGGAAACTACCCGCCTATATGACTGAAATACTGTTGGTAAAAGGCGTAAAATGAAACAACAAACAAACAAACAGTACATTTGTGTAATGGAAGGTAATGTATGAGCAATAAAATCAAATTGATTTTTGCTTTTGTTAATTGTAAAAACAAAAGCATATTCATTTGTGATAAAAATTGTTTCATTGATTTAAATTTTCTTTAAAAATGTTATATGTGTAGGTATCCCACAACAAGATATGGTACGTGTGAAACATAAGCTGATACGTCAAAATAAGTCAAGAATGCTCGGGCCAAATTGTCCAGGAATTATCAAGGTAAATATGTTTTAAGTACAGTAAACCCTAAACATTTATACTGGTAAAATAATAATAAGCTCTAAATTTGTAAAATAGATGTTTCTAGGAATGTCTTTATAATGTAATCTACTTCATTTGGAACATTTACTCATTTGAGCGATCAAGGGCCATTAAAGCCCTTTTGTTTCTTAATTTTATAAAAAAAACTTTAACTGATATTCACTTCAAACTTAATATACATGTTAACTGGAAAGAGTAGGTAATTCTGCAATTCAGTTTTACAGAATTATGCCCCCTTTTTTACTGTACTATTGTCATACTACCTACAACAGACCCGACAAAAAGTGGAGTGTGCTACTGCTGAGACAAATCTAAATTTAGAATTACGTATGAATTCAGAGCAAAGATTGGTTAATACACATTTATTCTATTTATCGCATACCTGATTCGCTTTTTCAACTCAGTAAAAATGTTATTGAACAGCCGTGCATATACATGTATTTTAAAGTAACATTTGCGTTATAGAAAACAAGCGTTAAGAACCACGCTTAAATGTTTAGCTTAATGGGACGCCTATAGGTATGTTGAAAATAGAATATTTTATTTGTGTTGATTCATTACTGGAATCTACATGTATTTGGAAATTTAGTTGATTAAAAATAATATTAAGGGAATTCACCAAATAGGGCTAGCATAATATAACTTGTTTCAAACAAATTTTGTATTGAACCTATATTTTTACACTCATTCATTATCCTCTGTTTATGATATTATGGGTTTTTTTTGAAGCCTGGAGAGTGTAAAAATTGGTATTATGCCTGGACATATCCATCAGAAGGGAAGAATTGGTAAGTGATGGCTCAGGTACTTTTTGTTTTATTTGTTTCAGTATTATTATATATTACAGTAAATATAGAATTTTTACACAGGTTACTAAATGAGTAGAATTATTTTTTGCAATCAAAATGTACGAAAGGTGATACACGAATTTTGAAACACCCTTTTTTAGCTTTGTTTCTCGCTAATACCTGCAGCAAACAAGTTTCATGATTATGCCCCCCACTTCAAAAGAAGAGGGGGTATATTGCTTTGCACTTGTCGGTCCGTAGAGGGACCAAATGGTTTCCGAGTGATAACTAAAGAACGCTTAGGCCTAGGAACTTCAAACTTGGTATGGTGATTGGTCATGACCAGCAGATGACCCCTACTGATTTGAGATCAAGGGGTCAAAGGGTCAAGATCACATTGACCTTGTAGGTAAAAACGGTTTCCAATCAATAACTAAAGAATGCTTATAGGCCATAGGAACTTTAAAACTTGGTATGGTGATTGGTCATGACCAGTAGGAAAGACCCCTATTGATTTTGGGGTGAAAGGGTTTTTTTAAAGTTCAAGGTCAGATTGACGTTGTAGGTAAAAAACCGTTTTCCGATCAATAACTAAAGAATCTTAGGCCTAGGAAATTTCAAACTTGGTATGGTGATTGGTTATGACCAGCAGATGACCCCTATTGAATTTTTTGGGGTTCAAGGGGTCAAAGGTTTTCAAGGTCACATTGGCCTGTATTGTAAAAACATGACCAAGCCAGGATGACCCCTAATTTGATTTTTGGGGTTTCAAGGGGTCCAAAGGTCAAGGTTTCACATTGACCTTTGTTAGGTAAAAACAATTTTCCGATTTAAATAACTAAAAAGAACGCTTATGCCTAGGAACTTTCAAACTGATGGTATGTGATTGGTCATGACCAGCAAGATGACCCCTATTGGAAATTTTGGGGTCAAAGGTTCAATGGTCCACATTGTCCTTGTAGGGTAAAAACAATTTCCGATCCAATAACTAAGAATGCTTTAGGCCTAGGAACTTTCAAAAAACTTGGTAATGGGTTTGGATTGGTTCATGGTACAGCCCAAGATGACCCCTAAATTTGGGAATTTTGGGGGTTTCAAGGGGTCAAGGTTTCACCATTGACCTTGTAGGTAAAAATAAGTTTCCGATCGATAACTAAAGAATGCCTTAGGCCTAGGGAACTTCAAAAACTTGGTATGGTGATTGGTCCATGACCAGCAGATGACCCCTATTGATTTTGGGGTCAAGGGGTCAAAGGTCAAGGTCCACATTGGACCTTGTAGGTAAAAAAGGTTTCTGATCAATAATAAAGAACCCTTAGGCCTAGGAACTTCAAACTTGGTTATGGTGATTAGTCATGACCAGCAGACAACCCCTATTGAGTTTGGGGTCAAGGGGTCCAAAGGTTCAAGGTCACATTGACCTTGTAGGTAAAAAAATGGTTTCCGATCACCATAACTAAAGAATGCTTAGGCCTAGGAACTTCAAAAACTTGGTATGGTGATTGTTCATGAGACCAGCAGATGACCCCTATGATTTTGGGGTTCAAGGGGTTAAAGGTCCAAGGCACATTAACCTTGTAGGTAAAAAACGATTTCCCGATCAATAACTAAAGAACCCTTAGGCCTAAGGGAACTTCAAAACTTGGTATGAATGATTGGTCATGAAGGGCAGATGGACCCCAATTTATTAAGGGGTCAAATGTCCAGGGTCCACATTTTGACCTTTTAGGGTTTTTGGAAAACAAATGTTTCCCAATTTTCAAAAAAACTTAAAGGGAACGCTTGAAGGGCCTAGAAATTTCTTCAAACTTGGGTAAATTGATTGGATTGGGTTCATGAAACCAGCAGATGAACCCCTATTGAATTTTTGGGGATCCAAGGGGTCAACGGTCAAGGTTTCACGTTGAAACCTTTGTAGGTAAAAAAAAACGGGTTTCTGATCAATAACTAAAGAATTTGCATAGGGCCACAGGAAACTTCAAAACTTGGTATGATGATTTGGTTTCATTTACCAGTTACTTGTAAGATGACCCCTTTGATTTTTGGGGTGAAAGGGGTTCAAAATGTTTTCATATTTGACCTTGTTACTTAATGACGGTTTTGGTGACCAATAAATCAACAACTCCAAAGTTCCTTGGTTGATTTTTTATTTAAACTAAAAAAATTGCTTTTGGTATAACACATTTTGAAGGTTCTTTTATGTAAATAACAACTTTGGCTTGTCAATTAATGAGGCCTACTGATTTCCCATAAAATTTTATGGAATATAATTATTTGTTAAAGATTTGTAATTTAACTTAAATTGCTGCACAACAACCAACTGGGGTCACAATAATTTTACCCTTGTGACTAGTTCCATGGGACCAGTAGGCATACTAGAAAACCCTTATTTAATTGTTTGTTTCACTTGGGTCAAGAAGGGTCATGGCATAATAAACCTTTTGATCATATGACTATTTGGCCCTGCTGATAGGGGGGGGCAACATGTTTTACAAACATATCTTGTTTTAACAGTATCTTAACTTTCTGTAGCAAACTACACATATATATTAAACATAAATGTGATTTCAACATGGGTAGACGTAAAATTTACTCAAGTTTAGACGGTGTTATAGAATACCTGTTGATGAATGGAAATTCTTATAGAAATATATAGAAGGAGATAAAGGGGCAGGGGTATGTTGTATCTTTGTCAACAATACATAGAGTAAAACATTTCATCAGCAAATCTCGAAATCTTAATACTAAAAAGCCGAAACCATTTTGAGTTTTGAAGGTGACATACAAAGTCAAACAGATGACGTCATTCGTAAAGTCCCAATTTTTATAAAAAGGGTAAAATCTCCAACCCAGAGAGAGAATGAACAAAGTTAAGGTGTATCTCAGGATACTATTAACCGAATTATCAAACATGTACTGCAATGTAAATTTTTTGCAAGAAATCAAAGTTCATAGGCTCAATGCAAATCAAATTCAATTTGAGAAAAGATGTCAATGTTTATAACGTCTGTATTTACGTTTAGATAACAAAACAACCAGTGGAAAAATTTTGTCAGTCTCAACAAAGCAATGTTTTATCTCGGCGGCAGTAATGGTTTGTCGTCAGGTTTGTTTTTACTGTAAAGGAGGACATGATATTTCAAAACTTAATTTTGTAAAAATGTGATTTGTTTGCTGCAAAAAAAAAGGATTTCATGCTGGGACTTTAAAAAAAATAACATTTTAGTGTGATTTGAGTAATAAGATCGTTTTAATATTTTTGTCATGAATTTGCCAAAGCGCATCCCTTTAAAGTTATACACTGTTAACAAAGTGTTTCAAAAAAACGTGAAATCACCTCTCATACGAGGGCTGTTCAAAAAGTTCGTGGACTGCGGCTCTACTGTTCACATCTTTTTAATTTGCATTTATGATTTTACAAGAGACATATATGAAAAATATTGTCTTTACTAAACAGTGAAAAAAATCAATACAAATATGTTTACAAATAACAATTCTGTGGACAGTTACAAATCACAGGGGGTGCCACAATCCGGCGCACGCTGATGATGAAACAAAATGACGTTCGTAGACGTCGCAAATATAAATGAAACATTTACCAAGCGTCATTGTGTCTGAAAGTACTCGTTTTAGTGTTCAATATCTGCGGATTATACACCAAAACCATTTTTCTGTTTGTGATGATAACCCGAGATATAAAGTGGTCATTTCTTTCGCTCCATTCTTCGTATAAAGGTCCGAGTGCTGCATACTTTCCGCATGTTATCGGGATTTTTGAGTAATTTCGACACTAAACGGACAGTGTTATTAAGTTAATTCAATTGTTGTTTTGATAGTATCAATTTGAAACCGCCCCGTCCGATCTTAAAACAATATGATTTTTTAATGATAAAGAAAATATTTTATCAACTGACAATTATTCTATGCGGTAAATCTACTGAACCACCGCCGGCTACATTAATTATCAAAAACGGACCAGGGTAATTACAGGAAATACAAAAAAATAAAACTACAATTATTTATGGTTAAATACGCATATATCCTGATGAATGAAATAAAAATATTTTTTTAATTAAATTAAAATTGTTTTGGTCAGAATGAATACATAGACCCCTGATGCAGAAATTAAAACATGTCGGTCATCTCGCAAAACTTTCATAATGTCTGAACTTCTGTGGATCTTTTGCAAATTGACGTTACAAACGTCCCAACAATTTGCCGCTAAAAATTATCCGTCGCCCTTTTCTGTCTGTGAGCAATGTTATTTGCCGTATTTGAATCGCTTGCGCGACCTGAAAACCAAGAGACTTGCTCGACAACTCATTGTTTTTCATTAATTTAATCACCTCATAAAAACTATAAAGGAGTATACCACATTTATTGGTTAAAAATTTTCCAAAAGAGCGAATTTTATGTTTTTAAACGGCCTTTAATACTTCCCAACTTACCCGTCTGTCTACTGCTGCTCAAAAACCTGTTTGTTCAGTTATTCAACGTCCAAACGACGTCAAAAATGTCAGATTTTATGTCATTTAAATATTAATAGATGATTACTTGTATTTTAACTTTTTAAAACAATCATTCAGTTTGTTTCAACATTTGTTTATATTTAAAAACATTATATGAAAATTTCGGCGTGCGCCGATGTTTGCGTTGCCATGGTTATTAAAAGTGACATAACTCGTAAAGGAAATAAAAGTTAACAATTAAAAGTAAATCTAACTTTTTGGAAATAAAGACACCTCTTTCGATTCATATCCACTAAAGGGTGTTTTTATGCACCAAGTAAAAAAGATTGACAGCAAAAATCCACGAACTTTTTGAACATTACCTCGTATTGTGCTTGTG